CCTCATTTGGTGGATCAGTCGTCACCGGCCATGGAGGGCAGGACAGTCTGACCGATGTTGCCGGAGCAGCAGGCCAGTTGAACTGCCCTTCGAAAAATTCTGCCCATCGTCCAAGACGTCGATGGATGTTAGTGATTGGCATCCCATCATCCTCGCGGATTGTTTCACTCACACCAGACTTCTTGCTGCCAGTGGCACGGATGAGTTGGAAGAGCTTCCGGTAGTTACCAGATGCAGCTGCTGCTTCCAGCTCATTAGCACGCATCGACCACCAGGCTTCTCGGCCCTTACGCAAGCTTTGCCCGATTTCCTTACGTAAAAACCTTCGTTTATGGTCAAACTCACGGTCACCCGGAGTAGACCGACGGGCTTCAATGAGTTGTAAGGAACCAGAAGAAACCCAGTGCTTAAAAGCGGGACGTTTCGCAAACCCACAACTGACTGTTCCCGCCATTTTCATGGCGTCATGCAATTGCAACCAATGCTCATCTATACTTTTCGGTGGAGTGGTAGCTAGCCTAGAGGCTAGCTCGGTTCGATACTTACTTGCAACAGAAGTTGCAACCAGCTTGCTAACATCAATCCGTTGATGGCGTTCACTTCGTTGTCCACTGAAAAGTAAGGCAAGATTGGCGCAGACCAAGGCATGGTCAGAGTCCAGATAGGTACTCCAAAAGGAGCGGCAGTCTTGTACACAACCACGCCAGCGGTAGCTGATCGCGATGTGATCAATCTGAGTCCAGGCTTGAGATGCAGAGGGAGGACGCCAGGTGGCACAGCGGCGATGACTGTGCCGAAAGTTAGTGCTAGCCAGAAACAGGTTGTGGTCTGTGCACGGTTGCAGTAGACGGTCCCCGTTATCTGACCTGCGACCAACGAGTCCCCATCGGCCACCTAAACGACTCTCTTCTGTGCCTAGACGCCCGACCTGAGCATTCAAGTCTCCGGCTAGTACTACAATATCTGTCGAACGCACTTTCTGGAGAAGAACTGATAACTGGTGGTAAAACTCATCCTTGATTGCATCCGGGCTGCAATCTGTCGGGGCATAGGCGGAGATGACGAAAAGACATCGTTTCTCACGCCGATTTCTTCTCACTTTGATGGAACTTTCTAATCTAACAGCACATAACCGACTGTTAATGGGGATCCAATCGACTAGTGCTGCCTCAGCTCTAGCGCTTAGTGCGACACCAACGCCAGCAAAACCAGACGAAGATGCCACAGGGTCCCCGGATAAGCGCACGTAAAACAAGCTTTTCGAAGCGACAGATGGAGATCGAATTTGTAGTACTTCGCCAGAGTCTTGAATACGGGTCTCGGATAGACAACACACGTCGATATTAAGACTTTCCAAAGACATAGCCAGCCCTATCTGTTGTCCGACCTGCATAAATGTGCGAACGTTGAAGGCAGCCAGTTTGAATGGCGCACGTGGTTTCAGAAAATCTGCTTCAGTCCTCGTATTCGGTGGTAACATACAATTTTCAACCGGACAGTGACTCGAGAACGTTTAGATACAGTCGGAATTCCACCAAAGACGAGCCGCTGTATATGTATAAAAGAAGGTGAATAATGTGGAAAATAATAATAATAATGATAATAATAACAATAATGACAATAATAGTAGTAATAATAATATTAGTATTAATAATGACAATAATTGAAGTGATCATAATTTGAATCAATTGATTGTTTTTCAAAGCGACAAAAGTAGTTTCCATAGACATAAACAGTTCATCATTTGTGTGTGGGCTGTGATACTGCCCGGGTGCCCAAACCGAAGCAGGTGGTTATCTTAGGGGGCCACTCCCCGAGCCTTTGACCTAAAGGTCTAACCCACAAGGCAGTGGAGCATCGTAAGGAGATGCAGTCCCATGGTAGCCGGTGACCAACGATTGGTTCATACGCCATTCGTTCCCGCAGGATACTGGAGCCCATGTGCACCATTGGTTTGGAATCCGGTTAAAGCGCCGGACATTCGCTTCTCCTCCTCTCATTTTCGTAAACAACACCCCCGCCACGAGAAGGCAATGCGTAGGACTTCCCTGGCAGAGGCTATATACGCGTGGCCGTGTGAGAGCGGACTCTCCCCACTCTCGGCCGTACCAGGGCATTCAGGGGGGTTCCCAATATATAAGAGAGGGTCAAAATCATCCTGTGACAATCATATAGGGATTAGTTTAACTAATATAGTATTTAAAATACTAGCCTCGATGATTATCAGACGCTTAACTAAGACTCGTGAACTGCGAGCACGAGAGAATCAAGCTGGCTTTAGACCTGGCCGCGGCTGCATCGACCACATATTCACCATTCGTCAGGTTCTAGAACACAGGCATACTTATCGGCGTCCGACAATGGTGGTCTTTCTTGACTTAAAAGCAGCATTTGACTCGGTAGACCGCGAGATTCTGTGGCAGTGTCTGTCATTGAAAGGCGTACCTCAGAAGTACATAAACCTTGTGAAGGCTCTTTACTCGAACACTACCAATCGAGTCAGAGCTTATGGCGAACTGTCATCTACTTTTGCAACCTCAAGTGGTGTCCGTCAAGGCTGCCCACTTTCTCCATTCTTGTTTAACTTCATCATAGACCTATTGATGGAAATAACACTCTCGTCGACTGAATTCTCTGGTATTGATCTCCTTCCAGGAGGTCCACTTATCGACTTAGAATACGCAAATGACATAGTCTTGTATGGTGAAGACGCTGACAAAATGCAGTCTTCTGGTAGCACTAAGCAACAATGTCAGAATGTTTGGGATGCGCTTCTCTCCCTCGAAATGCAAGTTGTTGCTTCAGCACTGGTCTGCGTCAACACCTGAACTAAGGATAGGGAGTGAAGTAGTCGAACGCGTTGACAACTTCACTTATCTTGGAAGTCTGATCAGCCCTAATGGGTTGGTGTCTGACGAAATCTCAGCACGGATTCGAAAAGCTCGCTTGGCTTTTGCCAACTTACGTCACCTTTGGCGGAGACGAGATATCCGTCTATCAATAAAAGGACGAGTAAACTGCGCGGCAGTTCGTTCTGTTTTACTTTACGGCAGCGAGACATGGCCACTAAGAGTAGAAGACACCCGTAAGCTACTAGTATTTGACCACAGATGCCTTAGAAATATTGCTGGCATCTGCTGGGATCACCGGGTAAGTAATAGTGAGGTTAGACGCAGGATATTAGGGAATGATGGTAAATCAGTTGATGAGGTTATGAATCTTCATCGACTGAGATGGTTGGGCCACGTATTACGTATGCTCGAACACCGACTACCACGACGTGCAATGCTAACCGGTGTTGGAGATGGTTGGAAGAAAGTTAGGGGCGGCCAAACCAAAACGTGGCATCAGTGCTTGAAGCCACTAACTTCTAGTCTTAGCCATGTTGGTAGATGCAGACTACTTGGTTGGGGTCCGCGTGACAATCGTAACCAATGGTTGGAGACTCTTGGTGACATGGCTCAGAATCGATCACAATGGCGTCGGTGTTATACACTCCCTGTCTTCCCTTAAACTAAGAGATTAAAATCACTTCACATCTTTCTTTCTACTAACTAATTCTTTCTTCCGATACTATATCCTTATACGCAATCTTTCTCCTATATATTACCACCTTTGACCTAACCACTGCTATGAATCCGGTGTCCATCTTGTGTTAATGAGGTATGGCAACTTGGACCGATGCATAAATGTGCCTGGTCCTACGTTGTAGCTGACTGACATTGATATTAAGACTTTTTAAAGATATAGCCAACCCTATTGGTTGTCAGATATGCAGTATTGTGCGGACGTTGAAGGAGGCCAATGTGAATCAGTCGGTCAGCTACAACGTAGGATCAGGCATATATATTGATTGGTCCGGGCTGCCACGCCTCATTAGCACAAGATGAACACCAAATTCATAGTAGTTAATTCAATGGTAGTAATATTTTAAAAAAAGAGTGTATATAATGATATGATACAGGCAGAAAGAATTAGTTCGTAGAAAAAAGGTATAAAGCAATTTTAATCTCACGGTTTAAGGGAAGACACAGAGTGTATACACCGACGGCATTGTGATCGATTCCGATCCATGTCACCCAGAGTTTCTAAATACTGGTTATGATAGTCGCACGGATGGATATCTCGCTTTCGCCATAGGTGACGTAAGTTGGCAAAAGCCAAACGAGCTTTCTGAATCCGTGCTGAGATTTCGTCAGACACGAACCCATTAGGGCTGATCAGACTTCCAAGATAAGTTAAGTTGTCAACACGTTCGACTACTTCACTCCCTATCCGATCAGTTTGAATGGTGTACGTGGTTTCAGTATTCGTATTCGGTGGCAGCATTCAACTTTTGACCAGTCAGTGACTCGAGATTGTTAAGATGGGACAGGGTTTCCACCATAGGCCGACTGCTATATAAGTTGAAAAATATGAATACACAAAGTGAGAATGTAAAAGAGTAGATAAGTGATGTAGTATACAAAAAATATAAATGAATGTTATTGAAGCAAGAATAATATTTCCCATATTAATCATCATCCGATTTGTGTGTGGGTTGTGATACTACCCGGGTGCCCAAACCGAAACAGGTGGTTTCCTTAGAAGGCCATACTCTGAGCCTTTAGCCTAGAGGTTTAATTCATAAGGCAGTGGAGCAACGTCAGGAGATGTAATCCCATGGTAGCCGTATCCACCAACCCGGTTAAAGCGCCGGACAACCACTTATCGTTCTCTCAATTGCGTAAACAACACACCTGCCATGAGAATTTACCTGGCAGTGGTTGTATACGCGTTGCCATGTGACAGTATTTCGAGAGAGAGAGAGAAACCCCCCCACCCTCGGTCGTACTAGGGGAATCGGGGAATATATTTTTATGTAACAAAAAATAATAATGAGATAATATATATGAAAATAAAAAAATGAAATATATTTTATCACACAGTATATAGCACATCAATATAAGCTACAACTCGAAATACCCATTAAAGAAATAGGATCAGGTTTAGTTTCATACTTTAAGGTCACATTCGACAATAGTACCGTTCTGTCCTCCAATATAAGCCACATTTGTAACCGGGTTTATAGCCATATCAATCACAGCAGTAGCGCAGCCACCAAAAGCATGAAATTCACCTATTTTAATATTACCCTTATCGGATAATGCGCACGTAGATTTGGATTCCGATTTCAAAAGAGGGTAACTCGTGTCAGTTTCAACTTTAGCTCTAAAAGGAAATGAAATTTTCTTGTCATTACACGCTTTTTCATGACTACCGTCATCATCATCAGATGATGATGATGATGTCGAACAGGAAGAGGAGATATATGATTTATTCACTTGTTTTGGAGGTGAAATGCGAAGAACAGGGGGTTCGAGTAGTAAGCTTTGAGGGCCGGTAGTTTTAGATGAATTGGATGTCACAGTGTGACTTTTTTCACTTGAATCTATTGATTGCTCTGTAATCTTTGCTGTTGGGTAAATGACTGGCTCACCTTTTATCGGTGGAGATGTGATTTTATCTAAAATAAAGAATGAAAAGCAAACATTTTATTCAGGTCTTTGGGAGAGAGCAAATACACAGAAAGAATTCTTAGTATAATAATAAAGGTATTAGGAATAATTAGTATACCTTCGACTGTCATTGGTAAGTCTGCAGTAGGTCTTGTTTGGGATGGGTGTCCTAACGATCCAACATTTTGATTAACTGCTTTAGTGGAAGCCTTAGCTGCTGCTTGCTTTAACATTTGATCAACTTCATCAAAAGTGAACTGCCAGCTGTTTGGTGACTGAAGAGCTTGACGTATTAAAGCTAGACGCTCTAAATCAACACCATTAGAATTTGAACTGGTAGGTATTGGATTAAATGGATCAGATATTGTTTTTTGTGAAGCTGCAGAGATATGACTTTGAGGAACACAGGAGGCTTTAGGAACGTTTGAAGTAGTTTCAGGGATTGATGGCGAGGATGTGAAAGCATTTTTAGACTGCTTTAATTCTAATTATTAAAAAGACAGATGAACAGATAGAAGTTTTCGTAACATCGGCATAAAAAAGAATAGATAGCAAACAGATCCCATTTTAACTACTCAATAAAACTCACAAACTTCTTATCTATGTAAAGTTCATACACTGACTCATGTTGCTCATATATTGCAAAATAGAAAACCAAAGCTCACCTGCTTGTTGATTGCTTGTTACATCGGACGATAAACTTGAAGGTATACCAATTTGCTGTTTATTTCTTTCTTTTGGATTGGGCATAAAATGAGTAGGATGGGATGTTTCAACATCAGGTGTATCCAAAGGAGCTATAGAAGCAACAACTTTTACATGCGATTTTTGAATCGGTAAGGAGACATTTTGTCGTATATCCGTTGGCTCAGAACGAGAAGTGTTTGTGTGACTCTCAATATCAGAGTCCGAATGATTAAGTCCTATTTTAACGAAAGATGAGAGAAACATTTACTAGAAAAAAAACTTAACTATGTGGCTATGTCAGTGATTGCAAAAGAAGATAAAAAATGAATACTTGATAAAATAATCACTAGGTGAATATGATTAAAATAAGACAATCGGGTAAGCATTATGGAATTTAAAATATGACTCAATTGTAAATACACGTCAATCTTATTGTTAGATTTATGAACTAATTGCATGAACAACATACAGCAAGATTGACAACGAATTAAGTAAAAGTTATGGGGAGAAGATTGCTCAGAAGAAGCATCTGAACGTTAGTAGTTAACATGATAATATAAACTGATGATCGATAGCAAAAGTAATTTGAAACGCTTTACAAATACAAATACTATAATTTTCTTACAAAACACAAGCCATCCGCAACCATCATATTAATGGACACAACACTTATATCTGTAACACAGAAGATGGATTTTGCTTATGACGTTATAATGTTGCAAACTTACACAATGTATCGATAACATTGATGTTATATCACAGATACTGAACAAAATGAGTGTGATAATTCAAGAACACCTTCATACAATCAAAGCATAGTTGATCAGAAAGAGTAACGTGATATTTAAACTCAGGATTTAAGGGAAGACAGAGTGGACGTATCTAGGTCATTTTGGCCGATTCTGAGCCATGTTACCCAAGGTCTGTAACCACCAGTTAAAATAACAACGCGGACCCAACCAGTATTCTACATCGACCAACACGGCTCAGATAAGTGGTTTATGACTTCATGGATTTATACGACCTTTTACCTTTTGTTTTAATTGTCCCCTCAACCTACAACAGAAAACGTAAAACCAGAAAACTAAGGCAAGTAATAGGAAAGTAAGACAATCTGTACTAATATTTCATGCTGGGGGAAGTTTTATCATTTAGACAACTGTTAGTTCCAACGAATTCATATCAAAAACCACCAGATCAAATCCACATTTGTCAATACTGTAATATGGAACTGTGATAGGCGGATGGAATATACAACAGAACAATTTGTGATAGATATACATTTTTGTGATTAAGATACCGAACATCCGTTTCATTTAAGAATCAAACTTATTAAAGTTATATTATGAGCGACAAATAGTTCAGATGGTCATAATCTAAATAAAAGACATCAAGTGAACAGAGATAGAGAAATAACACTAGAGAGCGGTGGCTCAATGGGTAAACCATTCGACTTTCAGATACTAAGCCACAGGTTCGAACCTAGCTTGACCTAATTTGTATGGGCAAATAAATAGTATCGATAGACTTCACACATAGAATATCCCGACCGAAGCTGCTACCTTGACGCGGTGGTCGGGCTTGCTCATCGTGATGACCCAACCGAGCTATACTGGCTGGAACAACCGTTCCTCAAGGTCCTACCATGTCAGACAGGTCGGTTGAAGAGCGGTAAGACTAAAAGCAACAAACCCAAGGTCCGAAGGCGAAGTCGTACTGCTGACTGTACAGAGGTGTGACAGCAGTAAGGTGTTTCACTCGAACAACCAGCATCCGCAGCGATGCTGCTTTCTCACAAGGAAGGAAGGGATTGGAAAAGGTCGACCCTAAAAATGTCACACCTCACCTTACCTCACGGATATCCGTCTCCGGTGGTAAGGCCCTTTGAAGAACGGAGTTAACACGTCAAAAACCTTACAAAAAAAGGCCGTGCGCGACCGGCCTCAAGCAGTTGTCCCTTGGGCTCTGCGGTCACGCTCCCAGGTCGTCAAGACCAACACTAGTCCAATTTCCTTTACAGGTTCCTCAAGAAATACCCTTCCACGGTGTGGGCAGCCGGGAAGTAACACCAGTCCTCATACCCGTAACAGCACACGAGACCAAGTCGGTCACATTCAAATCCTTCCTACACCTCCTAATACCACTCTTATATCCACGACTAACCCTCCTCACGTCCCTTTATCACCTTGAACCGCTAAGGCACACGATCCAAGTACGCGGAACGCTATTCCTGTTCTCCTGAAACCACGCTCTAAACTACACGTAGGAGCTTTCAAAGTCCGAACACTGTGCCAAATAGGACAACAGGCTTCCTTAGCTAGAACTTGAGAATCTCGGGCCATCGATATGTGCTGCGTCTCCGAAACGCGCATACAGGATCCGAGTAGTGTCATTCATTTGACCTCAGCATATCAAAATAAAGAACCAACTAGATTTACGCTTTGTGTATCTGGAGGCCCTGATTCCGCTTCCCGAGGCCTCGCCAGCGTAGGTATAGCATTGAGTCCTACGGCAGAAACAGATCTCTTAAACTGGATCCCAGTAGACAGTCGTTTGTGCGCTGTCCGACTACACGGAACAGTAAGGATCCGGAAAGATAGGGACACTCGTCGTTGCCTCTTCGTCGTCTCTGCCTATTCTCCCACAGACTACAGCTCAGATGATGTAAAAGATGGGTTTTACAGAAAGCTTTCCGACCTTCTCCGAAAAGCTAGGCGCTCTGATGTAGTAATAGTGACCGGTGACTTTAATGCTCAAGTAGGTAAACTAAACGATAGGGAAAAACACCTAAGTGGATCTTATGGTGTCGTGGCTCAAAGAACAGATAATGGCTACCGTCTGTTGCAGCTATGCTCAGATAACCGCCTGTTCCTTGCAAATACTAACTTTAAGCATAAGGAAAAACATCTTTTAACATGGCGACGCCCTAATTCGTCCCAACGTTGGACCCAAATAGATCACATCGCTATCAGCCACCGATGGAGGGGCTCGATAGAAGACTGTCGCCCATTCTGAGGCACATGCTTAGATTCAGATCATGCTCTAGTACGAGCGCGTATTTGTCAGCATCTTACTGGACGTAGGAAAGACGCTGCAAGGAAACCTCTATGGGGCCTACTTAATGATAGTCAAGCTAAGAGTATATTTCAGGAACAACTAGGAAAACAGTTAGGCAGCCATGTATGTGATGCCCACCCCGAGGCAGCATGGAACGATATGCGAAAAGCTGTGGAAACAGCAGTGATATCTGCAAGTAAGGTAAACCGTAAGCTTAGGGAAAAACACTGGATCTCAGCAGTATCTATCGCACTGATAGATGCTCGGAAACGCATTCCACCTGACTCTGAACATAATGAAGAGCGGAGTCAGCTTAAGCGCAAGCTGACAAGAAGTCTACGCAATGATCGTGAACAGTGGTAGGTAGCGAAAGCAAGAGAGATGGAAAAGGCAGCGGCAAAAGATCAGATATTCACACTATGTCAGGTTCTAGAACACAGACACACATTCAGACGCCCCACAATGGTAGTATTTCTCGACCTTAAGGCGGCATTCGACTCGGTTGATCGTGAGGTTCTATGGCAGTGTTTGTCACTGAAAGGTGTACCAAAGAAGTACATTAACCTTGTAAAGGCTCTCTACTCGAACGCAACTGGTAGAGTGAAAGCTTATGGTGAACTGTCATCAGAATTGATTGCCTCAAATGGTGTTCGTCAGGGCTGTCCATTCTCTCCATTCTTGTTCAACTTTGTCGTTGACGAACTTTCAGAGATAACACTTTCCTCGTCTAAATTTCCGGGGATTGAACTTCTACCGGGAGGTTCACTTGTCGACTTAGAATATGCTGATGATATAGTTTTATTTGGTGAAGACGCTGACAAAATGCAGAGTCTTCTGACCACTCTAAGCAACAATGCAAGCATGTTCGGCATGCGATTCTCCCCCTCGAAATGCAAAATGTTGCTTCAGGATTGGGTTACATCAACACCTGAACTAGTGATAGGGAGTGAAGTAATTGAGTGTGTCGACCGCTTCACTTATCTTGGAAGTCTCATCAGCCCTTGTGGTCTGGTGTGTGACGAAATCTCAGCACGGATACAGAAGGCTCGACTAGCTTTTGCCAACTTGCGTCATTTATGGCGTAGGCGAGATATCCGTCTATCAACCAAAGGACGTGTTTACTGCGCAGCAGTTCGTTCCGTCCTACTTTATGGCAGTGAAACATGGCCGGTAAGAGTAGAGGATATCCGTAGGTTACTAGTATTTAATCATAGGTGTCTTCGAAATATTGCTCGCATATCCAGGGACCATCGAGTAAGTAATGCAGTTGTTAGGAAACGGGTACTAGGTGAGGATGGCAAATCAATTGATGACGTAGTGAAACTTCATCAGTTGAGATGGCTGGGACACGTGTTGCGTATGCCCAACCACCGACTGCCTCGATGTGCGATGTTTTGTTGTATAGGAGTAGATTGGAAGAAAGCTAGGGACGGCCAGACCAAAACATGGCACAAGTCCATGAAATCACCGACAAGTGGACTGAGTCATATTGGTAAGTGTAGACTACCTGGTTGGGGACCGTGAGATGATAGCAACCGATGGTGAGAGACCCTGAATGACATGGCTAAAAATCGTTTGCAATGGCGCAGGTGCATCCACTCTTTGTGTTCTCCCAAATTTTAATCTTCTGAATTCTTTATGTCCCATTCTTTCTCTTTCCAAATTTTTTTTACTAGGTTATACTCTTTAAATAACATCTCCAAACCCTAATCTTTCCTATTACTGCTTATACTCTTACTACCTCTACCACTACGGAATTTGAATCGACCACTGCATCTCTGTGCTAATGTGGTGTGGCATCTCGAACTGATGTACGTACGTACGAAGTTCTACGTTGTTGCTGACTGACTGACACTTAGAATATGGCTTGAAGTCAAGTACACAAATCTGTACTTGGTAAGAATGATAATAAAAAGCGTAAACAAATGTAGGTACGAGAAGATATTCATGACGTAAAAATATAAGTAGTACATGTGACAAATATAATCGATTCTTAATTGTCTTTCAACATAACTGACAATCTATTTCCTCCAACTCTATAGGCCGTCACGATTTAGTCTGAACTTAAAAAGACCTTAGAAAAAAGTAGACAACTCCATCATATTTCTTCGACGTCTATAACAGGATGTCGATGGACCCAATAAAGAATTCCAGGGTCTTGGTGACTGGTCAAAAACAACAAAGTTTACCAATCATTATCTAATAAATATTTTTCACGCAAAACCCCTAACACTGAATTACTACATATCCCTCATGGTTAAACATATCTAGGAAATCAGTGACGGTTATGTTACAGATGAGATTTTTCGATGATCCGACGAACGAATCGTCGATTGTTAAGATCAACGTATAGAATGTTAAGTGACAGATAAACACAAAGGTATAATGTAGTAAAAATGATCGCTATTCACGAAAATGAATTATTGATTTAAGCCCCTGAATGACCAGAAATCAAAGACAAAATCACTAAGTAGATGAATCGCCTTTCAATAAATAAAGTGACGTGCTTATGTACAGAATAAACATGATAAACACCATAAGTTATTGGAGGTAAGTCACTCATTCACCATTTAATTAAGATCGGACTGTTAGGTCTAATCTTTGGGTATCGAATCAGATGCGCATTATTAAGATGGTATATAAATTCATGGTACATCGTAGAAGGACTATGCACTAACTTATAAATAATACATTAATGATGTACTCTAACTAAAACGGCACCGTTATTGCTTTTGCTTGAGCAATTCTTAAAAAAGTGAGACAATCGATAAAAATAAGTATTACTAAGAAACTGTTATTTTGCTGGTTAAAGCACAAAAACGATTGGCTTATTCCACGGAACCAGATATGCGTTTCAATGAATTAGCAATATGTTCATCCTCAAAAAAAAATCCAAAATATACCTCGCAGTAGATTGGATCGTTCCTGTTTCAACTCACGCCTTTTAGCTTTGACCTAGATTAAAATATAAAAACTTGGATTAAGGGCAAGGAAATAGATATAAAAAACAATTGAAATATTGCCATATGTAGTCATAAGCTGACAATCGCTCAAGGCCAGTGAACTTTGAATCATATTCAGATCATAAATTATTGCTGAACTTAAATAACACGACTTATTTTCCACAACACAATAGCCTTCTCGCCACATTGTTTTTTTCTACGATTTCCTTTCATGTTCCATACCGAAACCGAGGATGAAATTAAAAAAGTACAATCAGTCAGTCAGTAACAACGTAGAACTTCGTACGTACGTACATCAGTTCGAGATGCCACACCACATTAGCACAGAGATGCAGTGGTCGATTCAAATTCCGTAGTGGTAGAGGTAGTAAGAGTATAAGCAGTAATAGGAAAGATTAGGGTTTGGAGATGTTATTTAAAGAGTATAATCCAGTAAAAAAAATTTGGAAAGAGAAAGAATGGGACATAAAGAATTCAGAAGATTAAAATTTGGGAGAACACAAAGAGTGGATGCACCTGCGCCATTGCAAACGATTTTTAGCCATGTCATTCAGGGTCTCTCACCATCGGTTGCTATCATCTCACGGTCCCCAACCAGGTAGTCTACACTTACCAATATGACTCAGTCCACTTGTCGGTGATTTCATGGACTTGTGCCATGTTTTGGTCTGGCCGTCCCTAGCTTTCTTCCAATCTACTCCTATACAACAAAACATCGCACATCGAGGCAGTCGGTGGTTGGGCATACGCAACACGTGTCCCAGCCATCTCAACTGATGAAGTTTCACTACGTCATCAATTGATTTGCCATCCTCACCTAGTACCCGTTTCCTAACAACTGCATTACTTACTCGATGGTCCCTGGATATGCGAGCAATATTTCGAAGACACCTATGATTAAATACTAGTAACCTACGGATATCCTCTACTCTTACCGGCCATGTTTCACTGCCATAAAGTAGGACGGAACGAACTGCTGCGCAGTAAACACGTCCTTTGGTTGATAGACGGATATCTCACCTACGCCATAAATGACGCAAGTTGGCAAAAGCTAGTCGAGCCTTCTGTATCCGTGCTGAGATTTCGTCACACACCAGACCACAAGGGCTGATGAGACTTCCAAGATAAGTGAAGCGGTCGACACACTCAATTACTTCACTCCCTATCACTAGTTCAGGTGTTGATGTAACCCAATCCTGAAGCAACATTTTGCATTTCGAGGGGGAGAATCGCATGCCGAACATGCTTGCATTGTTGCTTAGAGTGGTCAGAAGACTCTGCATTTTGTCAGCGTCTTCACCAAATAAAACTATATCATCAGCATATTCTAAGTCGACAAGTGAACCTCCCGGTAGAAGTTCAATCCCCGGAAATTTAGACGAGGAAAGTGTTATCTCTGAAAGTTCGTCAACGACAAAGTTGAACAAGAATGGAGAGAATGGACAGCCCTGACGAACACCATTTGAGGCAATCAATTCTGATGACAGTTCACCATAAGCTTTCACTCTACCAGTTGCGTTCGAGTAGAGAGCCTTTACAAGGTTAATGTACTTATTTGGTACACCTTTCAGTGACAAACACTGCCAGAGAACCTCACGATCAACAGAGTCGAATGCCGCCTTAAGGTCGAGAAATACTACCATTGTGGGGCGTCTGAATGTGTGTCTGTGTTCTAGAACCTGACATAGTGTGAATATCTGATCTATACAACCACGTCCGGGTCGAAAACCAGCCTGATTTTCTCTAGTCTGTTCTTCACGAGCTTTGGTTAGGCGTCGAAGTATTATTGAAGCTAACATTTTAGACACTATATTAGTCAAACTGGTTCCTCTATGATTGTCACAAGAGGACTTTTGTGCTTTCTTATAGACTGACACAATCAGTGATTGAGACCAGTCAGATGGGATTACGTCCAGTTCCCAAATTCGACCTAAGACCTCAGTCAATCTCACTGCTAATACTGGACCACCATCTTTAAAATTTCAGGAATAGAAGCGTTACAAAAATTAAGTTGTGATGAAACCAATGTAGTGATAAAGCAAAATGAAATGAATATAACATAGGGTTTTACAAAACCTTCGTACATGACAATTAGTGGTCTTTTCATCTGATATCTTGATTAAAGTCAAGATTAGACCATCTTTATATGGGAAAAAATATAATTGACTTAGTAATATCGTCTTTTTTTGATAACTTTAATAAAATACCATTGTATATAGCGATCAATAAACGTATGAACATAGAGCTGAAAAACAACTTGGATACTACGAGCTGAACCTAGTAAAAGTTACGTTCAAGTTTATCTATTTATTTTCAATTCAAATATAAGCGACGGATTTTTTAGCAGTTATAATTTATAAACAAGTACAATTTTAAATCTTCAGAAGAAACCACGGAAATACTGAAGAGCGATAAATTTATTTAGGTGTGAAATGAAAAAAAACATCTCGCATTTATAGTTAGCCTTTCCATAATATAGATAGCCAGTAAACTTTGACCGGAAAATCTCTCCCTAAGAGGATACAATAGAAGTGTGAAAGTAGTTAGATACTAATTTTGAGAAATTCCAAAATATTCTCATATTAAAAGTATTATACACTCGCGTCGTGAAAAATAATAAAACTGAGCGACCAGATAAAAGAGTCTGAGTTCCTCAAAGTACTTTTATCATCTGAATTAAACTCTGAAGATAATAATACTAAATGAAGCGTTGATGTGTTCTATTTACCTAAAAGCATTTAGAGGAAGAAATATCACATAAGGGAGATAGTTCGTGTGACAATACCTCTGTTGAATTTAATTTTAAGATCCTGTTCACAGTAGAACCGATTACAATTCAGATTTCATTTCTGTGAAGCTATAAAGTCGAGACTCCAACAGCTGAAACAATGGGAATAGGTATTTTATAGTGCAACAGTAGGAGACAGTTGTCCTGTTTTACTACGGAAAAATTAGACAGTTAGTTTACACATTATCTGAAAAATTAAACAAAAAACACGACTGTACAGAAGCAAATGATCTGGAGCCAGAATGAGATACAAACTGTAGCTATGATACAAAATAAAAAACTTTTGTAAGATACATGCAACTGACACTCACCAAATTTAACTCAGTTTCAACAGTCTGTAATTTTTCCTCCAGTTCATCTTGTTTGATTTTAAGTGATTGAAGTTCTTGAGAAATTAATAAAGCTTTCTCCATACACTGGAGTTCTCCACATTTCTTTGTGTTTTGGCTTACAGGCTGAATTGTAATTGGTTTTGGAGAAGTTGATGGGCACGTAACTATTTTAGGGTAAACAGGGGAATAATTCTCCCGTTCAGATTTCTTTTTTTTAGGATCACAACGGTTTGAACTAGTAGATTTACTTACTTTACAGCGTAGCTCATTAGTTAACCGCTTTGATACACTTTGATGTTTACCTTTAGAGTTAATAATGGTTATCTTTTGAATTTGCTTCTCTTGCTTACGTGTATTTACTGAATCTTTATCAATAGTTTCTAACTGAAACGAGAAAACAGATATGACAAAAATGACCTAAACACAACAAGAATTCAACTTGAATTAGAAATTGTCATTACTTTGTTATAAATATACGCAACGGAAATTATAAACGAGTGCAGTTGCCACTTAACAATTACACTAAGGAAATTACTTACAATGTTTAGCATCATCCCACCTTCATGACCAGAAGTATTTGAAATTCTTGGTTTCTTAGATAATTGAGTGGAAGAAATATTTCGATTACACTTGTTATGTGATGATTGGAAGGTATCAGATGAACGTTTCCCATTGCGTGTACGAAGACCATTGCTGACTGCGTCAGATTTCTGGCCTGATTGAAGGAAAAGTATCGTAGAAGTTTAGAAAATTACAGTTTTAAAGACTTAAGTCTTAAAATAGATCTGCAATTGGCTATAATCAAAGTACAACATAGCAAAAATGTCCCTACTGAAGGTCAGGATTTAGGGAAAGAAATTGAATGCTTCTGTTCCACTGAAATCGATTCTGACTAACATCAACTAACATGTGACAGTTATATATAGTGATGGGAAATAAACTACTTCACGATAAAAGTTAAAATTTGCAGGTGTGTATTTGTACTCATTCTTTTTTGAATTATGACTTGTGTGGAAATAGTGACATTTGAGGCTCTTAAACCGTAGTATGCACTTCTCACGACCGTTGTTGCTACCTTGACGTGGTGGTCGGGCTTGCCTATCGTGATGAAGCAACCGAGCTATACTGGCTGGAACAACCGTTCCTCAAGGTCCTACCATGTCAGACAGGTCGGTTGAAGAGCGGTAAGACTAAAAGCAACAAACCCAAGGTCCGAAGGCGAAGTCGTACTGCTGACTGTACAGAGGTGTGACAGCAGTAAGGTGTTTCCTTCAGACAACCAGCATGACAGCGATGCTGCCTTCCCACAAGGAGGGGTGGGGTTAGAAAAGGTCGACCCTAAAAATGCACACCTCGCCTTATCCCACGGGTATCCGTCTCCGGTGGTAAGGTCTCAATAAGTACGGAGCTAACACAAAAATTACCCATAACAAGGTCGTGTGTGACCGACCTCAAGCAGTTGTCCCTTGGGCACTGCGGTCACGCTCTCAAGTTACTAAGACCACCTCTAATCCAATTCCCTTTTCAGGTACCTCCAGAACAACCCTTCCACGGTGTGGGCAACCGGGAAGTGATAATCGCCCTCATACCTCTAACAGCACTCAAGACCACTGTATTCATAATCAATCTCCCTCTTTAATTCCTATTATTCCTCCTACATCGACTTTCAACTTTCAATTTCCTCCCACGGCTTCCACCTCAAGTGTCACCATAGCCAACGATTCTTGTGCGCAAAACACTGTCCCAGGTCTACTGAAACCTAGCTCCAAACTACACATTGGAGCCTTCAACGTACGCACCCTATGTCAAATCGGTCAGCAGGCTTCCTTGGCTAAAACCCTAGAGTCTCCTACCATTGACGTGTGCTGTGTCCCCGAAACACGCATATAGGATTCCAGTGTGGTTATTCACTTGACCTCACCTCGGCAAAACGGAGAGCCAACGAGATACACCCTTCGTGTATCTGGTGACCCGATGGCAAGTTCTCGTGGACTGGCAGGTGTAGGCATAGCACTAAGCATGAGGGCCGAACAAGCACTGCTAGAGTGGATCCCCGTCAACAGTCGTCTATGTGCTGTTCGGCTGAACGGCTACGTAAGAACTCGGAAGGATAGGGACACACGTCGTTGCCTTTTTGTCGTTTCTGCCTACGCTCCCACTGACTGCAGCTCAGATGAAGTGAAAGATGAATTTTACAGAAAGCTGTCCAAACTTCTTCAGAAAGCTAAACGCTCAGACATAGTATTCGTAGCAGGTGACTTTAATGCTCAGATAGGCAGTTTAAACCAAACAGAAAGGCATTTAGGTGGATATTTTAGTATTCCGACACAGCGAACAGATAATGGTGATCGTCTGCTGCAGCTATGCTCAGACAATCGTTTATTTTTAGCAAACACAAATTTTAAGCATAAGGAGAGACATCGTCTAACATGGCGACCCCCTACACCAAACCAACGATGGACTCAAATAGACCATATTGCCATCAGTCATCGTTGGAGAGGGTCGGTAGAAGATTGTCGCTCATTCTGGAGTACCTGCTTGGACTCCGACCATGCCCTAATACGGGCACGCATCTGCTTGCGCCTCACTGGACGCAAAAAAGCCACATTAAAAAGACCCGTTAGAACTGAATTGAGTAACGAGAAAACCAAAAATAGGTTCCAGGAACAACTGAGGTCACACTTAGGTAGTTGTGAAGACGAGGCTGACCCAGATGTTGCTTGGAAGGGCATACAATCAGCTGTGGAAACAGCAGTGACATCTATTAGTGACTTAAACCACAGAGTTGCAAGGAACCAGTGGATCTCTTCAAGGTCTGTCACACTGATGGATTCTCGCAAACTCGTCCCATCAGGTTCTGAACATGATGAAGAGCGAAAACAAATCAGATCTAGGTTAAGAAAAAGTCTAAGGAACGACCGTGAGCAGTGGTGGGTAACGAAAGTAAAAGAGATGGAAAAGGCGGCGACTATAGGGAACACAAGACAGCTCTACAGACTAATAAAAGAAACTGGAATTAATAAGTCAAGTGTAAGTGAGATTATCCCGACCGTTGTTGCTACCTTGACGTGGTGGTCGGGCTTGCCTATCGTGATGAAGCAACCGAGCTATACTGGCTGGAACAACTGTTCCTCAAGGTCCTACCATGTCAGACAGGTCGGTTGAAGAGCGGTAAGACTAAAAGCAACAAACCCAAGGTCCGAAGGCGAAGTCGTACTGCTGACTGTACAGAGGTGTGACAGCAGTAAGGTGTTTCCTTCAGACAACCAGCATGACAGCGATGCTGCCTTCCCACAAGGAGGGGTGGGGTTAGAAAAGGTCGACCCTAAAAATGCACACCTCACCTTACCTCACGGATCTCCGTCTCCGGCGGTAAGGCCCTTTGAAGAACGGAGCTAACACGTCGAAAACCTTCCACGAAAAGGCCGTGCGCGACCGGCCTCAAGCAGTTGTCCCTTGGGCACTGCGGTCACGCTCTCAGGTCACTGAGACCACCTCTAATCCAATTTCCTTTTCAGGTACCTCCAGAAGAACCCTTCCTCGGTGTGGGCAACCGGGAAGTGATAACCGCCCTCATACCTCTAACAGCACCCAAGATCACTGTATTCATAATCAACCTTCCTCTTCAATTCCTATTATTCCTCCTACATCGACTTTCAACCCTAAACTTCCTCCTTCGGCTTCCTCTTCAAGTGTCACCATAGCCAACGATTCTAGTGCTCAAAACTCTGTCCCAGGTCTACTGAAACCTCGCTCCAAACTACACATTGGAGCTTTCAACGTACGCACTCTATGTCAAATCGGTCAACAGGCTTCCTTGGCTAAAACCCTAGAGTCTCTTACCATTGATGTATGCTGTGTCTCTGAAACACGCATACAGGATCCCAGTGTGGTCATTCACTTGACCTCACCTCGGCAAAACGGAGAGCCAACGAGATACACCCTTCGTGTATCTGGTGACCCGATGGCAAGTTCTCGTGGACTGGCAGGTGTAGGCATAGCACTAAGCATGAGGGCCGAACAAGCACTGCTAGAGTGGATCCCCGTCAACAGTCGTCTATGTGCTGTTCGGCTGAACGGCTGCGTAAGAACTCGGAAGGATAGGGACACACGTCGTTGCCTTTTTGTCGTTTCTGTCTACGCTCCCACTGACTGCAGCTCAGATGAAGTGAAAGATGAATTTTACAGAAAGCTTTCTGAACTTCTTCAGAAAGCTAAACGCTCAGACATAGTACTCGTAGCAGGTGATTTTAATGCTCAGATAGGTAGCTTAAACCAAACAGAAAGGCATTTAGGTGGATATTTTAGTATTCCGACACAGCGAACAGATAATGGTGATCGTCTGCTGCAGCTATGCTCAGACAATCGTTTATTTTTAGCAAACACAAATTTTAAGCATAAGGAGAGACATCGTCTAACATGGCGACCCCCTACACCAAACCAACGATGGACTCAAATAGACCATATTGCCATCAGTCATCGTTGGAGAGGGTCGGTAGAAGATTGTCGCTCATTCTGGAGTACCTGCTTGGACTCCGACCACGCCCTAATACGGGCACGCATCTGCTTGCGCCTCACTGGACGCAAAAAAGCCACATTAAAAAGACCCGTTAGAACTGAGTTGAGTAACGAGAAAACCAAAAGTAGGTTCCAGGAACAACTGAGGTCACACTTAGGTAGTTGTGAAGACGAGGCTGACCCAGATGTTGCTTGGAAGGGCATACAATCAGCTGTGGAAACAGCAGTGACATCTATTAGTGACTTAAACCACAGAGTTGCAAGGAACCAGTGGATCTCTTCAAGGTCTGTCACACTGATGGATTCTCGCAAACTCGTCCCATCAGGTTCTGAACATGATGAAGAGCGAAAACAAATCAGATCTAGGTTAAGAAAAAGTCTAAGGAACGACCGTGAGCAGTGGTGGGTAACGAAAGCAAAAGAGATGGAAAAGGCGGCGACTATAGGAAACACAAGACAGCTCTACAGACTAATAAAAGAAACTGGAATTAATAAGTCAAGTGTAAGTGAGATTATTTCGGAAAAAGATAATACTCTCATCTGCTCCCAGTCCAGACGTTTAGAACGATGGGCGGAACATTTTAGAGAACAGTTCAGCTGGCCTTCAGCTACTCTACAACTACCCTCCATTCCCAGACAATGTGAATGGAACATTGAAGTAGGTCCCCCAACTCTTGCTGAAGTTCAAAAGGCTATAGTTAATCTGAAACGAGGAAGGGCAGCTGGTCCAGATGGATTGGCTCCAGAGGTCTTTAAGGATGGTGGTCCAATTTTAGCGATTAGGTTGACTAATATTTTAGCTAAGATCTGGGAATTAGACTTTATCCCATCTGACTGGTCGCAATCACTTATCGTCCCAATATATAAGAAAGGGTCAAAATCATCCTGTGACAACCACAGAGGGATTAGTTTAACAAACATAGTATCTAAAATACTGGCCTCGATAATTATCAGACGTCTAACTAAGACTCGTGAACTACAAACTCGAGAGAACCAAGCTGGCTTTAGACCTGGTCGTGGCTGCATCGACCACATATTCACCATTCGTCAGGTTCTAGAACACAGGCATACCTATCGGCGTCCGACGATGGTGGTCTTTCTTGACTTAAAAGCAGCGTTTGACTCTGTAGACCGCGAGACTCTGTGGCAGTGTCTGTCATTGAAAGGCGTACCTCAGAAGTACATAAACCTTGTGAA